AGAATATAATTTAAAACTTCCAAATTTAAAAAGTAGAGGCAATGCACAATCACCTTATTTAGACAATGATTGGAAAGCCATCTTTCACTTAATTTTACAAACCCAGGTAAGGTATTTTTATTTTATTTGGGGTTTTTTGTTGTTGTTGTTGTTGCTGTTGTCTCTGTTGTTTTAAGACAGAGTCTCGTTCTGTCATCTCAGCTAGAGTGCAGTGGTGTCATCACAGCCCACTGCAACCTCAAATTCCCGGGCTGAAGCGATCCTGCTGCCTCAGCTTCCCAAGTAGATGGGACTACAAGCACGTGCCACCATGCCCAGCTAATTTTTCTACTTTTTTGTAAAGACACACTCTTGCTCTTGCTCAGGCTGGTCTCAAACTCCTGACCTCAAGCGATCTTCCTGGCTCAGCCTCCCAGAGTGCTAGGATTACAGGTGTGAGCCACCGTGCCTTAAATGCATAAACACTTATTTCTCTTGTATGGTTTTATATATATGTTTTTGTATGTGCTGCATGCCGTGGAATACAGTTTTTAGTTTGACTTCTTATATTTTTACTTTTTTTTCATTTTGAACTCCCCTCCCAAAATAATTGCCAAACTCCTGTCATTTAAAAGTTAGAATAAATAAAAGTATCTTTTATTGCCCTTCAAAACTCACCCCAAGAGGTTAATTAAAAGAACAGTGAATATTCTTTCAAATTTTTTTCTTAGATTTTACAGACATAGACATCTATACCCAAAACATTTTTTTAAAGATGAAAAATCATGCTGTACTTTCTGGCTTGTGGCCGACACATTTTTAACACATTAACTGCCCTGTGAGTTGTATTTAATTTATGCTAGTTTTGAGCCTGGGGCCTCGTGAAGCATGTGTAACGTAACACGTCTTGTTACCATGAGCTGCATGAACTATTTTCAAGTTGCATAGAACTCATGCACAGAAAACAATAAAAAATAACAGATTTTTCATTAAATTAGAAAGGATTGTTTTGTTTTTGAAGTTTTTATTCTATTTCTGTAATAAAACACTGGGCGGGGGGGTGGATTTTTTTTCTAGTGTGGCATTCAGTGTGTTAATGGTAAAGTTTTAAACATCCTGCTTATCTAGATTTAAGCGTCTGGATATGCTGCCATCGGGTTTTGTGGTTTGTTTTCTCAAACCCAGGCAGTTTGCCAAACCTCAGCAAACGATGAACACAGCCTGTCTGTTACCCTGTTGTCACTTCTGATCTTTGTCAATATGTATTAAACATTTCACATAATTATAATCATTAAACTCATACTGTGTTGTCCTCTGCATGCATTCAGTTAACTCACATCAAATACTACTCCTCTTTTGTTTTTTTCTTAGCCATTCCTCTTGTGTTGGTATTTGGGTTCCCAAGTTTTCACTATAAATTATGCTACTTTATATTGCTTTGTTATATCTTGTATCATTGACTAAAATCCTGTTGCTGTGTTATATTACAGGGAGATACACTGATACAGGAAGGCTTGAATGATGTAGTGCGATTTAGAGGGAGACAGTAAAGGTGAACTAGGAAGTGTTTATGGAGTCAGTGAGGACTTCTTACCTGTTGTTTAATCCGTGATGTGGAAATAACACCTCCTCTCTTGCGATTTGTGATTAGTCTTCATTTATTTCTCTTAAGTATAAATACATAAAAGGCTTTCTAAATTTTTTTTTACTCCCCCACCCGCCAGCTGTCTAAATTTTGAGAACTCACTATGTATCTGGCACTTTATAGGTATTAGCAATAAGGAGATACAGCAATAATGATAGCAGTAAGGAAAACAAAGCCCCTGCCCTCACGGAACATACATCAGTTTAATGCAGAAGTCTCCATACTTGTTCGATTGTATACTATGAGTGTGGGCCCATAAATATAAATGTTTATAAATTTTGTGTGCTA